AATGTTACATTACTCCCAAACTCCTGAGGGTTGAAAGATGTATAGGGGAGGAGATTTGGATGTAAAGCTAACATCAGAAAACAATAATGGTCTTGCAAATGCAGTATGAATGTGAGAAAGTCAGTCATTAAAATGACGTAGATGGATTTTTATATGAATTGAATTGATTTTGAGGTGAGAATATTGGACTCTTCACTTAGAGATAATACTGCTATTGTCAAACATTACTAGACAAAATGGCCTGGATACAAAATGACTCAAGGGCTGAATATGTATGACAATTGATGGGAATGTGTGTGGAAATCTACTGCATCGGTACATTGACAACCATATTCTGTTGCGATTTCTCATAAGATCTGATATGTACAACACATATTGGACTTGTTACTGACAACTTCCATCATTGTTGTAACCCATAGTGCACTTTCCCTAAGGCCAGTTTCCTTTCAAAGTAATAATTATCCAATACTTCCTACCAAAGCCATTTATGATCAATAGTCATAGGTACGTGTAATATAATTCTCTCCAGTTCATAATATTTCTAGTATCTTTCTCACATTTACTGTAAATGCAGAAACCTTTTCATTTTCGGGTTAACCACTTGGTGGAAAATCATAACACTGTACAATGTCATATAATTTTTATCTGCAGAATTGTTTTAAAACCAGAACTCCAAAATTAAACAATGGAAAAAAATATTTTCCCTTCTACCATAAAATAAGCCCAATGAAAAGGTATGACAAAAAAAGACAATCCCTCCCAACCAAATGTAATTTTTTCCAGGAATGGAAATACAACTGTTACATCTTTTTCTTGGTTTCACTCAATATGCACAGCCTATGCTGTGGGTTTATCATCGCCCAGTACTGAATGGAGTCCACCATTAGCACCCTGTTTTATTGTTCTACCTATTGACTCAAGATTGTATCCAGAAATCCTGCCGTAAAGACCAATCTTGCAAGCCTGCAACACTGCTTTGTAAGGCCACACCAATTTAATTTGTTGGTTCTCGGATTTGCCTCTTCATTTTTTTCTGATTTGCAAAAAAAGAAAAAAAAAGATTCTGGTTCTGAATCAACTCAAAAATGCTCACACATATTTTTTCCCCCAACAGTTGAGGAATTCCTTTCCTTCCTAGTTCCTACAGTTTTTCCATCTATCAATGCAGTGGTTTGATTAAAAGTTCAAAATTCATTGTTTAAATATCAACCCAGCCTTTTGCGTTGACTAGCATTTGGGGCTTTAATAGGATGCCTGGGCCTGTTTTTATTTATGTTTTTCGCCCTGTTTCTTCACATTTTTTATGAAAAAAACAAGAACCAACAAATTAAATTGTTGTGGTCTACACTGCTTTATAAAAGGGGCGCACCACACGTATGAATGCAAATTATCTCCTTATGGCTTTTAACGACGTTTTACAACGCCAGAAATTACTCAACTGTTTGGAAGTAACGCCATGTGCTCTATTTTCTACTTCAGTTTGCAAATTGATGAGATGAAATAAGTATGAATAAGTTTACCTTTTGACAGCTACAACAAAGGACTGTGTATAGTTTATACATTGCTATAAACTAATTCACTAAGCTTAGTGGACATGAATAGAAGAAAGAAATTAGGACCTTTGTTCCTATTAGCACATCTGATACTATTTTCAATACTTGTGAGCTAGTCACAATATATTCAAGGTTTAAAATACCACCTGCATTATGCACCTTAGTGCAGGTAAAATTGGAGCTGTGCAGGTATTTCTGATGTCTACCTGTACCTAACCTGCACTGGTCCATGTATGCGGGTTAGTGCAGGTAAAATTGGAGCTGTGCAGGTATTTCTGATGTCTAACCTGCACCTAACCTGCACTGGTCCATGTACTGGGTATATGCAGGTTAGTGCAGGTAAAATTGGAGCTGTGCAGGTATTTCTGATGTCTACCAGCACCTAACCTGCACTGGTCCATGTACTGGGTATATGCAGGTTAGTGCAGGTAAAATTGGAGCTGTGCAGGTATTTCTGATGTCTACCAGCACCTAACCTGCACTGATCCATGTGGATTTGGATTTTTATTTGCTGCATTTACTGTTACCACCAGGTATAAAATAAATAATGGCAATAGATTCTGAAAACTTTTTAGTATGATCCATACTTCCGAAATTCTGAGTGGTGCAGGTAAAATTTGTCTGGAGCAGGTAATTTTCAATATTACCTGCACCAGTGCACCTGGTGTGCAGAAAAACGTCTTTCAAGTCCTGTTGTACGTTTAGTAATCATGGATGCAGTTTTTCTTATCAGAATTCATGAATAGAAGATTGTTTAAGTTATACATGAAGAAGTGGCATAATTCTGGTAAGCCTTCACACATGTGGTTTCTAATCTTTAAACCATCTTTAATCTACCGCTCGACGGGACTCCCAAGTCCCACGTTCCATCAGCGCATGTTTCCTAATGAGAAATACATGATAACAAGTCGCTGTACTCTGCTCCGTCGGCGATCATCTCTTGCTCTACTCCAGATAAAAATTGCATGACTGGGGAAAGCCATGATTAACCACACGAGCAATAGGGAAAGGATGCAAAGACATAATCTAGGATATATAACTCTCCCAGGAAAGGTCTTCAATTTTGAAACCAATTAAGAAACTAATCTGACGGTTTGGTGCTTGGAGGTTCTCAGCATAATTTGAACTAGCTGTATATCAGCTTTAATTGGTTGACAGAAGACCTATCTCCTACTGAGCTCACGTTCCCAGAAAGCACACAACTTGGTGTACTTGGCCATGAAAAAACTTTGCCAATGTTGAAAAAAAAGTTTTGTGAACATTCAACTTTCCTCCCTTTTATAATGATGTCTGCCCGTGAGTGGCTGTTTCTCTTAATGGTCCTGAACTGAACACGCTATTACTTTTTACGCCACATGACCCCACTTGCAGTTCTTGCAGTTTCCTACCTGTATGAATAGAGAGATGATGGCAAGTCCACTGGTGCCTTTGGTGGCTTCCGCCAGGTCCCCGTACAGGTCGTAGTTGTAAAATAGCAGCTGCAGCTGAAGGGGGAGGGGGCAAACAAGAGACTTTGCGTTAGATTTTACTGTTTCTCATTTTTACACACAATTTCATACATACATGTACATTGGCAGTGGCATGTTGTGCCTTCCCTGAATTGGGTAATGTTTGTTACAATAGCATTGTTCACATTAAAGTTACAAAGTGTACGTTTGGTTGTGTAAGTCTAATTGCTCAAAAATTACAAAATTAATGTTAAAGCATCACTCAATACAATTATACAGTACAATACAATACAGTACAGGAAACCGAGGAGGATTGGAAGTAAGTGGGTGGGGGGAGATTTGGTTTCAGTTGATTGCCGGGGTTGCCCTGGGTGGTAGGACATGGTGATTGGGGTTGCCAGGAATGTGTACATGAAACATAAACCATGCCGAGTGCTACCCACCCCTGATGAGACAGGGAAGCCGGCAGTAGTATAATCAAAGCCAGGATATGTACATGTATGTATGTACAATGTAAATACTGGTCTGTGGTCTACAATGTACATGTAGATCATATAAGTAACAAAACATCATTCTATGATGTAATTCAATCGGGCAATATTTCTCCATGATCATACAATTCTGATGCCTTCATGGTTACCCAAAATG